AAAGATGTTTTTTTTCGTCCTGTAATTAGATGACAGATGACTTAGACGCACACTTAACTCACAAACCTAATTATATAACTATAAATAATTAATTACCTCAGGTGTAACTATATGTAATGCTAAAATTTTCTTATATATTTTCTCTCTTTTCCCCTTTTTCATTTGTTTTTTTTATACTTTGTTTTATTTTGACGTTTTAAGATAAAATACAACATATCTTATAAATAATATAAATATTTATCATATAATTATCTATGAAATACCTATATTTCTCCACTTCGTAAAGTTGATATTTTTACTAGTGAAAATAACACATTCGAGGTTTCTCTATATAGTGGAAGTAAGAAAAAAGGTATTTTACGACATAATTTGCTTTCATATGTAATATGATAAACAGAATATTACATGGTCGCTTGAAGAAACGAATTTTATCTTCTCGTGTTGAAAATCTCTCAAGCTCTTTTCAACACTCGAAGATAAAATCCGTATCTTCGCTCGCCCATGTAATATCCTCTATATAACTTATATTCTACAGTCAATCCCATTAAAATTGTTCAGTTGTAAAGACGGTAAGAAAAAATATCAAAGTCATTTGCATATGTCATATTTTTTATTTCTTACATATGATATTCAGAATAAAGCCCCACGACGTCTTTACAAGGTCAATAACCTTTAATTTGCTATTTATCTAAAGTTTATAATTACAATTATTCCAGTAAATGTTTAAAACCCTTCTTTTTATACGTCAATTGGGTTGATTGTATCACCAAAGCCTGTTTCACTGCAGATTTTTGCGGCGATATTTTGCTGCGATATTTCGGGTGATTTTCAAAATACTGGATAAAAGTTTACAAACACAAGTCGATTCTTGCGATATTATTATCTAGAATCAATATGACTTTCAAAAATCTCCAAAAAATCGCCACGGGTAGATCTAAAATTTGGCAATTGACAAACGTCAATTCAAAATCTTGTTTTGTTTTTCTTTCTTTTTAGTTTAAGCAAACAGTAAGTAATAAAAATAATCAAAAACGTTTTTAAACATAATGTTTGTTGTTTTTTTAGTACTTTTTAGTTCAAAGAACTCTTCAGGAGTTTTTTGGAATATGATTTCACGCGAATTCGCGATGAATCCGTTTGCTGGACTTCTATAGAGTATATTGGAGCAGTTTTTCTTACATATTTACCTTAATACTGTAGTGATTAAAGCTCGCATCTTGAGTCATATGAAGTGGGTTAGCAAATCGTTGCGACGAGATCAGTTCGCAGTCGTAGTATCCAGTGTTTTTGGGTGTTGTTTTGATGTTTATTGAATGGCACCAGTGCTCTGCTGTACACGCGAAGACACAATCCATGTCCCCTCCAACTTCTCTGGTCTCRTTTTGCGCATTTGGAGGAGCATGTCTTCKCGAGGATWTAAAATCATATACGAGTTCTCTTTCCCTATCGAAATTGGCTTTGCAATGATGTCCGACTGAAATGATAGCTAGCAGAAAAAGTAATTTATACATTACTAACGCAGCGATATTACTTGAATAAGGCTAAGTAAAGATCTTGTAGACTTCAATGTCATTACCTATTTGCTTCTCAGTGAAGCTCATTATCAATAATAAATGTCCCGATGGCTACAGCCAATAAGYGTGTCTGAATTCTCTGTAACAATGTCAATTATAGTTGAAACGTGTCAAATTTGCCTCATTTCAGGGGGAAATTTAACCCTTTTGGACACAAATTCTGAATGACTTATCTTATTTTATTTATGTTTTTTATTGAATTCAACAGCTTCCTCTCAGTTCTTGTAACTACTAAACAGAACTCTAGTCGGCGAGGTAGTACTTTTTCAGAAGTAAATTATGCCGTTTATCAAGATTTTTCTGTAGAGTATTTTTAGTCAAACTCTGAAATAGTTAGTCATCTAAATAACTGTTTAGGTAAATGTCACGTAAATTAGTAAAAATCATGCTCCAAAGCCACCGTCTTAAAAATCAGGGGGGGACTCATAGAAAACTATACTAAAAATGTTTTTTTAGGCGAGGGTTTAGCCTCCTCCACAGGCAACTCTTTTTTCCTCCTTTGGGCTTCCTTTGCTCCTCAAAAAGACAGGAAGCCCGTGATTCTTAGTGATGCCTGCGGAGGAGGCTRGCGAGGGTTCAAGATTTTATTTCTTCCACAGTTCCAGAGGGCGCTATTTGTGAATTTTATTAGGAGTAGCCGACGGTTTCCTGGGAGAACTATATCTCTTCTTATGTCCCAGCCAGTTGAAGTCACAACTAGTTGCCAGCGTGAAATTAAAAAAAAAAAGAACTCTCCAGACAAGGAATACTTTTCAAGAATTTTTGCCAGAAAAATAAAGAATTTCCAAACTAATAAAAATATAAGCCGTTTTTGACCATCAAATCGTTATATAAGCCTTAATTATTTTAAAGAAGGAAGGGCGCCACATTTGGTTTTTAGATTGTCAACAATGTAGCTATCAAAAYCCCTTTCCCAGGAAAAATTCGTGCAAGAACAGGTTTTTAGAAAAAAAACGAAAATAAGCACACATTATAACAAATAATAATAACTTTAATCCTTTTTCTACCAGTTAATACATAGGATGCAGAATATCAAAATACAACAGTATTACAGACAATAATTACCTAAATAATTATATAGCCACATATTAATCCCAAATAGGTAAAAGCTGGATTTTTCGTTAATTTTGGAATCCTGTCCAATTAAGAAATTAATTGGACAGGTTTTCAATTGGGTTTTTGCTATAAATTTTTTTGGTTGGCTTTTACCTATTTGGGATCAATATGTGGCTATATAATTAATAGGTAATAAGACTCCATGCTATCCAATTAAGAAATAATTAGACTCGAAAAATTCCTCTGACTGCCAAATTGGACTCGGCCACGGCCTCGTCCAATTTTTGGCAGTCCTCGGAATTTTCCTCGTTCTATTACATATAATAATAAAGCTATAAAAAATAATATAGGTCATTCAATGTGTAAGTTATTACAACCCTACAAGGAATTTAAAAAAATCCTCTAAAATTCATTATATAGTTGTAGCAAATCATAACAATATCTAGCACATATATCATTAGACGATTCGTCATGCATATTCAAGTAWATATTAAAAAAACTCAATATTCTTTTAACTTACACAAATGTGGACAAGTAATACCAAAAACATCAAAAATATTTTTTCTTAAATTTACAAATTTTTTCATGATTACAATATTAAAAATAATGATATTCATCACCTACATCAAATGAATCACATAGATTACATGTACGAAAAATAATTGAATTATTTCAAGCTTCTCTCTATTTCAATTTCCTGACATCCTCMTGCAATAACACGACGTGAGACTTGYGACAATATGGAAATCTATAGAAAATGTTTTTATCGCCGCGTCGCGTGTAGTCGATAAACACCAGTCAACAGTATTGAGCCTGCAAAGAATCTCGGGTTTTCCATGCGTAATTGCCCTGCTAGCAGAGGATTTTTCCATCCCCTTCTAAGGAGAASGGAAGGTCTGGTAAGGTCTTTGCTCAAGAGAATCTRCTYTCAAATAAAGCAGCGGTTATTCGCTTTGAATTCGAAAATGGAGTATTGAGAAGATTYCGTCAACTTCAAATAGCTGTCAGAAATGACCAGCGACAAGCGGCTTAAGGTGTTCTTTTTARCRCGGTACATGAATCCGAGCTGGGAKCCAAACTCGAAAMGGTGACGTGACCTATAAAATACATTAAAGAGAAACTTCATATGTGTGTTACGGACTATTCGCTCATGAAGATCAGAGATTGTAAAGCTTTTACATCACCTACGTGATTTGCAATACATTGTGGGATCAGTTTCTGGAGTTAACAAAAGAAATTCTCCATGTTTTATCTCAAAGATATCCTACAATGCATTGCGTATACGGTGTATGACGTAAAAGCTTCAGACGTCGATAATGAGGTACCACGTTATGTCATGTCCGCCATATTGGCTGGAAAATAYATGTACTTAAAAACATTCCTCGTTGGCTGTTTTGTTCATTCATTAAACATGGCGACGAGGCTTTGTTATTATTTTTTTTTTCCAGTGGATAATTGGACATGCGGTTACATCGCAATAATATATCTTTTTTTATTTTAAGTGCATACCCAGACGAAAAATATCCTGCGGGYAAGAATCATCTCTTAGAATTATTGATGTAAATGTGTTGATATTTCCAATATTTAGCCGATTTTTGATCTTTCTTCCACCAAGTAAATTGTAGTCTTCAAGTTTCGTTTTTCAGAGTTTTTTTAGTTGAAATTATTCGTTGCTAAATCAACATCTATTTAGCCGCTKAAAACACAATTATCCACTTAACCGTCTAGGATTCCTACATATTAAGCACTTGACACTGATTTCTTGTATTTGTAATGTTTCTGTAATGATTTGTGGGTTTGAAAACAAGGCCTGTTTGAAGGTATGTATGTATAGTGCACGGTAAAGAACTCAAAGACCGAGATATATCTTAAATTAGCAGCAAGCTATTTGAGTGCTTATTTTGCAAAGTTCTTTTTATCGGTGTAAGGCAAGGTCATCATCTATATTCAATGTCTGCGATCAGTTTATTCACTAAGGCCGCTCGTAGGCTTCTAGCACTGCTGCCAAGATTGTCAAATTGAAACGAAATATTTTGGCGTGCTGTTTGTTAAGAACACGTTGTTCCTACACCCGAGAGAAGACATATGTCCTTTCAGGAGCCCATTATGAGCTCCTGGTCCGTTTTAGTSGTAAACYACTGAATCTCCGCTCTCGTTTCGAGCTCAATGTAAATTGAACAACGGTGAGCCAAAAAAGAAAGATTATAAAGGAATTTGAATTGAATTTTGAGACACATATGAGACACGGCGTGTGGAATATATCTTGTATCTGACAACCATAGAGAAATATTGTTTTTTATTAACTGTAGACAACAGGACTCCAACGGTAACGTGTCTGATATTGATCATRAACCATACGCAAAGGAGCTCGGCAGATTGATTATCAGGAAGAAATACTGATATCGACCGCCATCTTGTGTTATGGTGACTTTCCACTGACCATATCTTGACGCCAGCGATTTTGARTCWAAAGTCCGCCAGCTTCAATKTGTTGCAAGGCGCAACGATACGGAAGACATTATAAGAAAATCCATTTGGAATTCTAAAAGMTTTGATAGAAGAAATTTCTTTCATTGAACGTGCTAAAAAAATATATGAATTCAGTTCTATAGAATCATAAGTTTTTACACATATACCTAGATATTAAAAAAAAGGTTTTCGGATAAAATGTGAATGTCAGTTTGTCGAGCGGCGATTGCACGATCGAAAGGAGCCCTGGGTTTTGCTAATTGAAGAGAAATAACTGATTTATACTATAAGATTTAGTTATTTAGTATCCATTTCAATCTATGCAAGGCGAACCCAACAAGCCAAATTTTGTTGTCAAAACAGTGTAACCATAGTCTCTTCGACAATCGCCGTTCTCCCCGACAACGTTTTTGAAATAGGTGTATGCGCTGTATTTTGAGGGATTATTACACATTAATTAAATCAATTTATTGCTGTATTGAATATGTATTCTTGTCGAAATAGAACTAAGAAGAGACGGGGATTARTTACACAATCATAAGCCGTTCTTTCGTAACAGTGATCAAATGAATGCATAAATAATTCGSCCTGCCTCGATAATTGTCGTGGCCAKGGGTTATTATTGATATGCTYTCCTTCCAGACGTCTTTGTTGGCTTTAGAAAGACACGTGAGCGCCAAGACAAAGCGTTCTTCTGCTARCTGTTAAATTTGTAAACTACTTTGGAAAGTTCTCAAAACAKTTGACCAGCCTTAACGCCGGTAAGTTATGCTGTAATTGTGCTTCGGTATTGGACGTATTGCTGTCCAGAACTTGCACACTTTTGTTATGATACATAACACATAACACTAATATATTGATGTCGGAATAATAATAATAATTTATTTAGTTTTCTAAACCCATAAGTCAAATTTATATAGTCGCTATATGCGGCGAGATGATGTTGKCATTCAGCAACATCAATATCCGTTTGAAAGTTAAGTTTAATTAGTCTCTTTTGAACGCTATGATATTTGTTTTTGAACCAGTGGCCAGCGTGAMAKGCATGTGCGTCTATAACTGTACGATTCACTCAATMAAAATTAACRAATGACGCTTTTGATTRCTGTCAAACTTTTTGTCTAGTGTAATGTTTTAGGGAATTTTGATATGAGCAAGTGTCCGATATAAATCGTCTTTTGTGCTGGGTACCCCCAGGGAAAACTTCGAAAACAAGAAAATTCTATACTAATAAGTTTCATAAGAAACCCTACTGATCTGAAAACAGCTTCTTCATATTGGAATATCAGATTCTGCCGCCACATTGTACGACTTTCAGTCAGTTGATTWAAGTTTACTAATTTGACAGTTTTCTAAGGAAAAACTGTTCCTCATTTGGCCAAATTACAAATATACAAAAGGATATTATAATTAGTTATTTGATGTGTACCGCTTTCAAATATTCCTCACTCAATTTTGGTTCATCAGTTCTTTATTTTCAGTTAAGATGTATAGATTTATACAACAATTTTATTATTTTTGACATTTTGCTGCACGGTTAAGTATAGAAATTGTGTGTACATATTCTATAGATTCCAGACATATATACTAACGTACATGTGCAAATTGCCATCTCACGTACAAAAAACCAGCTATTAGAGTGATCGCACTTAAACCGTGCAACTGTACAAAACCTAAGTAGTACTTATTTGTACTGAAAAGTGGACCTGAAGCAAGACGGTATAGAATGCTTCATTTGTATCAATTCAATTTAATTTGCGTAACGCATGCACGATTTACTAAATACAACTAAATAGCACTATTTAGTTTGTACAGTTGCACGGATTAAGTGAGATCACTATCACTCACACATTACCAGGAGTCTAAAACTTAGTTCTTAACTTTTCCATAAAGACGGCATTTTACAGGAATTAAGGACAATGCGGAAACACCACAAATTAGTTCCCGCAGCCTTCATTAGTCGAGGGCGTAACCAGAAAATGCCACAAAGCTCCAATATCAGTCTCCAKAYCCCACCAAATATCACGCCTACTTAAAATGCTCGTTTCTGTTTGGCTGACAAGCAGTAAATCGCTTCTTAAAAAAACTATTCTATTGATTGATACATCCTGTAATTAACGAGTTCAACGAATCCATGTGTTTTCGTTAAAAAATAATAAAAAAATCGAGTATGTTTTGTGAATGACAGAGGATATGCGAAGGCCTGACTCAAGCTTGAGGAGAAATTCGCATCGATAACGTGAATATAACCTCAGCATTCGATTACGGCAACAAATAAAGGAATGCATAGCTGCAAATAATAACCTGAGGTTCCACCCACGGCCTTTATCTGAAGAAAAGGGCGTATGTCAGATCTACTTTCTCCATCTGTAAGTTTTAATAGAGCAAACGCATAAAATGAAACCTAAATACTAGAGTCATTTTCATCCGTCTGTGAAATAGGAATTGTACTATTAAATACTATATTACCCCCTATTAGTGCCCCAATAGTTTAACTTATGACATGGGACAATCTAATTAGAGTCATTTTCATCCGTCTGTGAAACATGAATAACTACTAGTCAGTGTTTAAGTAACAATGCGCTTAAGAACTAGGGAACTCTCTATTGTTCTGCGGCATTGCAACTTTCCCACGTATGAATGTCTTGGTTTTCACACTAATTATATATCAACCTATGGGTAACACATTTTTGAAATAAAATGTGGATAAACTCTATTTTGAAACAAAGTTTCTTTTGTATTAAAAGCTCTTATATCATAAGCACTCAAAACAATAGCCAAAAGATGCTTCTAATTTGCAATGTTCCCCACATAGAATTGCCTTAATATTGAAGCTAAAGAAATCTTTCATGAAAGTGAAAACAGACATCAAATAAAATATTAGAAATTGCGCTAACTTGTAAGTTATAGCAGATTTTCATGTTTTAACCAATGGGATAGATGGATATACATGCACAATTAGCACCTTCTTGCATTCCTTTGCTTCCCTAGTTCTTACTCGGTGCATTACTTAATAGTAACTATTTGGGTGAAGTAGGCTACCAAAAGGCAAAATCAAAACCGTGTTTGCCTATAGTTTGTCGCATGTCATAAACTATTGGGAAATAAAAGCGAGTAATAGTATTTAATAGTACAATTCCTATTTCACAGACGGATGAAAATGGCTCTAGGTAAACAGCGTTTTGACTTTGCCTTTTGGTAGCCTACTAAACACTGACAAGTAGTAATTGTTTCACAGACGGTTGAAAATGACTCTWTTTAGAGAAAATTTGTCAGTATCGTCAATTATGCGACAAGAATTCATAACATATTCAAAAGCATTGAGCTGATTCACGTTTCGGTTCAATTCTATGCTTGTTCAACTCTAGTGCGAAAACTATRTAAAATAGAATCATAGAGCAAACGCAGGGAAACCATGAAATAAAATCGAACTAAATACTAACAAATAGCGCCTATTTAGAGACAAATTGCCAGTATCRATGAAYCAGAACGCAATAAAGATGAATAAAAAATGGTCCCATGTGGATTCATCTTGATTGCGTTCTGGTTTATTGATACTGACAATTTGTYTCTAAATAGMCGCTATTTGTAAGTGTTTAGTTTGGTTTTATGTCATGGTTTTCCTGCGTTTGCTCTAGAGCAAACGCAGGAAAACCATGAAATAAAATCAAACTAAACTATGCTAAGAAATAGCGGCAATTTAGAGACAATTTGTCAGTATCAATAAACCAGAACGCAATCAAGATGAATCCACATGAGACCATTTTAATTGTTAATTCGTATCTATTCATAGTTAAWTGTGTATATAACATCAAACAAATGCATGCACGACTGCAAAAATATAATTGCTTCCACCCCCGTCTTTATCTGAAAAAGGGCGTATGTAAAACCTATATTTTATATCATTGTCTTTCACGTATAGTTTTCTGGCTATAAATAGCTTGTTCCTGTTGAGGTTTGATCGCTGTTATCCAAAATATACTTCGGCATATCARTTATGAAAAATTATTTTATTCACTGACTGTATAGTTGGGAACACTGCAGTAATGCGAGCTATATACGATTACTGACAATGAACATTAGATAAGCCACATGATAATTACGATGGCAGTTTRAAAATCCTGAGGTAAGAAGATATGGTTTCACGCAGACTTTAATATGAAGGCATACAATATTCTCGTGGTTTGTCGTCTTTATTTTGTGCGTGGGCAMTWCAATGAATCATGTCTCYAAAGAGTTTTGTGTCTTTTGTGTTTGCGATGACACGTCTAGCCTCRCACACTTTCATCACACGGAGGACGAGAATGTCCGCTGAAATCCTAYGACTTTCATAGAAAATTYTTTTAGTTGTGGTTKTGGGCTATGAAAATTTGAAAAGTCAGGACACATTRAACGATCTAAGGGAAACCACATAATGTATTTAATTCTGAAAATAAGCTACTTAACTAGTTAGTCACATTTATTTTTATGGGATAAAGTCATTTATAAATAGAACTTTGAGTGGTGCAAATTTGAGGTATTCTTCTCCTTGTTTCTGAGCAAGGCAAAAAAGGTAAAGTTTAGATTTTGCTGTTTACTTACAATAGTGTTTTTTAATCTTCTGATTATTTTTTGTWTATCGTTTGTWTATTTGTTWTTGTTTGGTGTCAAAAAGAAATTTTAACAATCATAGACTGAGGRAATGGAAAATAGCAATAAAYACAACAGCAACAACAGCAAAAAATAAGAAATGTACGACTTCCCATCGGCTTTTTAGACATAGATGTCTATCCACTSTTATAAAKGTCCACTAAACATTTTAGAAAGACTTGTTCTTGGTCAGGGCATAGCAACAACTTTATTATCAAAGCGGAGCTTAAAGGGCCACGATACACCGACATTCCTTTCGATCTTTTGTTTTAAAATTAAAATAGATCGTAGTATAAGAAAAACAGGACTCTATTATCGCTATATGGTGAACCAGGTCCCTTTAGCAGTCAAATACAATTTACTTATAGAATCAAGTGTAGATAAAGATGCATTTTCCTAGCTGGTTTGACATAGTGCACTCTACATATAATTAGAGGATATTATAGCTGGATCATTATGTGGCAACCTCCATAAMATGGAAAAACTCGAAATTCTTGTCACAAGATTTTGAAGTGGAAAAAACTTCCTGTTTTCTTGTTCATGTGGCGGAAGCCATGATGGTGTTAGTGTTGTTCATACCACAACATGGCCGCCGATCTTTTTTTTCTGTTGTTGTTGCTTTTTTTTCGTATTTGGTATCAGTGTTATTTCTTTATTTGTTTGCTTTTTGTATTTCTAAAAACTACTAACAACAGTTAAAAAACCTGCACGACTAAGCCAGACAACAGACTGCTCTCAAAGAGCAAACGTCCCGAATTTGTAGCGTGATTAGAATGATTAAATATGGCGACAAGATGATAATGATGAAAGGTTTAATGATAATGATAATAAGGCACAAATTCTCCCACCCACAGCTTTCATTGATTATCTCGGTTCCTGGTTTTAAAGGGCCTCTTCAGCTTGAAACTTTATCTTTTGGTCTTCTCAAATTMCAATGTATCGTATTTATATAAATATATGTGAAGAGTCTCGTCATGCTGTGACCTGTACAATGGCATGTGTTGTCCGTAATRTTAACCTAATTCATTAACTTATTTCATCTATTTGTAAAGGAGCCAGGATTGTCAAAGATTTCCGTCCTACTGTTCTCTTGGAAGCTGACTTGATAAGAGATCTGTTGGAGCAAGAAGTGGGAAACTTGAAGAACGCGAGTTAAACGACACTAAGTTTCAAGGTAAGGATTTTTGTACTTACCAACAAATCCTGTTACAACTGTGTACAACATTTACCAAGCGGAAGCCATTAAAGTTTTTATAAGTGACCATCATTATAGCTGTGAAATAACTTTGCCAACATTTCTAGCTTCATTCGAATATCTCGTATCGCAAACATATATTTTCATTGTCAATATGACAAGAACTCCACGAGGATATGGTCTACTCACACGCTCGTAAGATGCGTCGAACTCTGATATATAGTGATATGTCAAATACCAAGGTTTTCCGTACGCCTTGCTGCCTTACACAAGTAGTTATAGAACAATAGATTTTATTGTAGCTCAAAGTATTTCCTATGAGCCAGTTTACAAGCGATAATCGAGCATTTAGGGCAATCTTTCATCACCAGAATTCCTCGTTAGTCTATCATAAAATGTAAATACTGTATGATTGTTGTTGAAAATGTGTATTGATTTTGGACTTTGAWAATCWCGGAAAGGGAAGACTTTCTTCTTTCTSCGACTTTTTCGCCACTRTGCACTCCATATACTATATACCAACGTGCACGTGCGCWAACACAGRGTACACGTGCACTCTTGAACACTTGCACCTCCAAAYGAAAGGAAAGGTCGAATTTTGTATCCAGGATTACCCTGCGAACRGAGTGTTATTTACCTTAMCTCAGTAAGAAATTCGCGAATGTTTTTTACTAGGGTAAGATAAATAACACTATGTTCGTATAAAGGTAATCCAGKATCAAACATTGATGGAAAGCGCATGGTCTAGTTCTAATCATATTGATGGAAAGGATGCACTAATATAATTGACAATCACCGACCTCTTTTTAGCTTAATCTTCTAGAAAATGAGCTTCTGACAAAAGTGCCTCCAGTATTCTTACTTCGTTTTGTGCGTTTGTGTGTTTATTTATTTATTTGTTTATTTTTTTGTAAGTTTCGATTTGTCATTTATTTAGCACTTTCATTAGTAGCTTGGTGGGGATGTTCAGCAAGGAAACACAGGATTAGAGGCCTTGAATTCTCAATCAACATTGACTGTAGGAAGTCAGGCATCTATAATTTTCATTATTTGCGCAAATTCCTAGTACTGGATCGCATGTAGATCATTTTGTCAGTATACAACCTTACTGATCTTGTCATTTCCCAATCGATCAAAGGAAGTTCTTATAAATTAATATGCATTACTATATTTGCATTTACATTTTTTTCCGTCTTAATTGACATTGACCACGACCTTGATAGTTAGCCTTGCTTTGTCTCTTAGATAAAAAAAAGTCTATCAAATTATGACAAACCTTTCAATGATAAAATAGAACATACCTAATCAGCTCTTGCGTGTTGCCATAGATGTTCCCAAGCACCTATGGAACTAAGTTTTACTGTGCGGCATCTTTCCATTCCACAGCCGAATTCTTAGAARCAAAAGTTCTTTTTCACACAAGATTGGGATGGGGTAGTAACGTACATATCACGAGTTAACTCTATTCATCTCTTTGAACTAAAATCAAAGTAATCATAACATTTGCAATTCTTAGTCGATATCTTACCTTTACATATGGTAATCAACATTTAAAATAAAATTATACTTTTAAAGACTAGAATGATTCAATGTTTTATTGCTACAAGCTGGTTTCACACTCGTCAGGCAAGTTACAATGAATCAATGACCGTTAAAGTTTGCTGGTAGTTTGCAAACGATATTTAATGAAAAAACAACAACAATGAAACCAAACCAAACAAAACAAAAAACGAAGAAAAAAACAACAACAAAATAATGAATCATTCTTTAAGAACAATTTTATTTTATGCAATTATCCTTGACAAAGTTGAACACTTTTTTTAAAACATTTTAAGTATTCAACATTTATTAATTAATTCTAAGTATAACTGCTGTTGAAGTCATTAGGTAGATAAGATGGATAATCATTAGCCCTAAGGCAACTCTCACTTAGTGATTGATTAAACAGTGCGTGCTACATAATTACTCAATTCAATGTAACTAAATTGATCAATTAATACCATTTTAATATTTCATCAATCATAATTGGAATGATCAATTATCACCAAACTGCATTTGCGTGTAGTTTTCTTTTGGTCGAGAACTTTGGAGGTATGTCGGTATGAACATAGAAAGCTTCTTCGAGAGTTTTGAGTTTTTGAACTCATATTTCTATGGAGTTATTCCATGAGAGTGRAATTCTAAAATATAGAATATAGTAATACATCAATTGTACGAATCGCTGTTTTCATGTGGTCTTGAGAGCTCTGGAATCTTCGGAGAATGGCCATCAGRACAAAAGCCGCTGCGTGCATGGATAAGACCGGGTTAGCATTCGGTCAGAAGGAACACGTAAATAGCTTTCATAACATTCCAGATTATCGCTTGGTTAGAGAATCTCCGATATTTCAAAACTGCAGGTGGAATGTGGTGATATCCTGAATGCGGTATAGGCCCCTTAATAAAAAAATCGTGAGTAGTATGATAGGTATCAATTGTTCCACCTTATTATCACCTAATCGACCTACCATGTATTAGATTATTAAGGCATATGCCCTTGTTATCCGAACAATTATACTTCAAATGACTTTATTTCACCGTAAAAAAGGTTGAAAAAAGGTCCAAATGGGTCATTGTTCGATGTTTTTATAACAAAAATTCTTTCAACAGCATGACCAAGGTATAATGATCTCGGATAAGATTCTTTGCTCATCGATAAACCGCGTTATCGTTAAGATAAAGCTGTCTGTTTGTATTTAATATGTCGATTCTCTTGTCTGGAGTTTSTTGGTAGCATTCCAGGTTACAGTAATCACTCTACATTAATCAAACTTTGTCAATTTTGATTAATATTGCGGCGTCGCTCGCTTATCAAGTTGTGCGCCTTCTTAGAAGATTATGATGATGATGATAATAATGATGATGATGATTTTAAGTTAACAGCATTTTTATCATTTCATAAATAAATCCACAATTTGTTCCAAGTTAACAAATATTATCGGAAAATACATATTTTTTGCTACTTTTTTTTTCTGAAACAAGAACTGTTTGGACGTCACAGCGGAGACATTCCAATAGGTCCCCAAGTATAGACCATTTCTTGGTCACTCAGTGTTTCCGGCTTGTAGCTCCCTAGAACATGGATCATTCTTTAGTCTWWTTTTTTTTTAATATCCGGTTTAAGATGCCACAACAACTATCCWGCAATGGTTTGATAATTTTGTTACTGTTCCTGTTGTTGTGGTTGTTGTTAATGATTTTGTTATTGCTATTGTATATTCACTCATTCCACGCACATTGAGTCCTAGACAGACACGTGAACATGCCCAAATGTGCACGTGACAGACATGTGACTGAGACAAATGAAAATATCGCAAATGATTTCGATTAGAAAGCACTGATTGGATGAGTTTGATCTGCGTAGAAACATAAAGGTAGCTCGGTAATGTTTGTAGGCAAACTCTTCCTTAGAGTAAGTGATCGATGTCCTCAAATATGAGGGTTCTTAATTCCGTAGACAAGATTCAGTCTTGGTTTAACAGAGGCTTAAGAGAAGCACTATTGACTGAAAAGCTAGCTTGATTCAAGATGGAGAGGGGATTACCATCCCGGATTAATTGCTCCCTCTAATCACTATTTTAAACTCGAAGATTGTTTTAGGCAATATAGTCGTAATTCCTTCGATTGTTTTAGGCAATATAGTCGTAATTCCTTCGAAAGTCTACAAATACATTGTTGGATTTCCAATCGTCAAAATGAGCCTCGAGAAAAAAAATTGTATTCACTCGCGCCGAATGTAATCAGCGGTATTTGCGTGCAGCCTTCATACATGCGCATGTCAGTGTAAGTTGCTTGTATAGTGGTCTAGTATGTCTGAGATTATCAAGACCCTCCCCACTTTAAATTTCAAAATATTTAAATATCTAATATTCTCATACCTGATTTTCAGCTATAAACAGAGATACTTATAAAGCTAATAGTTGGTTCGTCCTGTAATATTCTACTTAAATAATGTAATGCCGATATTGTTTTGAACTAAGTTTCGATAGACGGGAACAATTGTCATTTTGTTGTCAATAATATTTGTAATAAAGTTTGTTTCTATTTCCCATGGGCTTGGGCCCTTTTAAAAATCTGTACGYACAGAGACTAGACTAACTTGCACTAATCAYATCCGGGACACCGTATTATTTCCTTAAACAACTGCTGCAGGATAACTGTGAATTTCAAGCATTTCAAGCTGTTATTACATCTACTATGAGCCTTCTAGAATGAGAAAAAAATGAATGTCAAGTTTGGTAATAACCCGTTGCATTTATTAAAAGTTATAGCACTTCAAAGTCAWCRAATTTTACAAAGAAATKTATGTATYAATYGGTTTATATTGCGGTCCAATGTRCAGTGGCACCCAAAATTCGAAAACAAGCATTTCAAGCTGTTATTACTACTAAAATGAGCCYTCTAGAATGAGAAAAATAAATGTCAAGTTTGGGGGTAGTGCGTTGCATTTATGAAAAGGTATAGTCATTTGACAAAGAAATGTATGTAAGGTTGACCGTAATTGCGTTACGGAATTTCAGCCAACTTGACTTTCGGTATCCTCATACTGTTATGGACTATTTTGACATAATGTTTCCGTCCTTTTCAGCTTGTTATTCGTTCTTGTTATGTCATTTCAGTGTGGGCACCACTTTCGCTTGGAATTTTCCCAAAGACTATATTTAGACTAATCTGCAAGGAAAATAAACTCCAAAAATGCACCTAACTGTTTTGAAATTCGTAATCATAGCAGCTCCTACAGCCGTATATGTTTGCACGGACATTAAAATCCGATTACCCTCGTAAGGGGCCTGGCAAGGGCTGCATTCGCCTCGAGACGTAGTATCCGATTGTCTCGCCTAAAACASACTGACTGACAGGTCATACTCATTTGTCAATGGTCGATTGCTCTTGTAGCTGGAGAAACKTCTGACCCTTGTGAATCTTTTCGCACTTAAGCG